CCTCTTCACTTATATAGGTGAGTTAGCCTCCTCTTCACTTATATAGGTGAGTTTTCTTGAATTAAACACTTTTTGAAATAAGTGATTTTTTGAATAAGTGCTTATTGGTGATTTTTTTGTTGATTGGGGTTTTAATTATATAATTGAGACTTAATTGTTGAGAATTGATTTGAATTGAGGATTTAATTCCATTATGTTGAATTTCTTATTGAAATAAGTGATTAATTGAACTTGAGAAGTTCATTTCAATTGTAACTTGAAATTGACATAGTGTTGTTGTGTTGATTTTTAGCCTTAGGTGTAGTTACACTAGTGTTTAGGTTGAATTTGGACATAGACTAATTTAGTGTTGATATATTAACTAGGATTCTTGTTGATTTAGTGTGAATTTTAGGAACACTTAACACTAAAAAATATAGAAAACTCATAATTTGACATAATGTTGAATAAGTGTGGGATATGATAGATTCTTGATTGACACTTTAGGTTCCCTTTTGTATAATAATGTAGTTGTTTAGTGTTTGTCAACACTTGTTAAAATCTATTTTGTGCATAATTTTTGTGAAGTTTTGTGTTGTTACATGAGACTTTTTAATTGACTTTTTGTGATATTTTGTGTTGTTACATGAAACTTTATAATTGAATTTTGATTGAGTTTTTATGTGGTTACATGAGACTTTATTATGGTGTTTTGAATTTGTTAATTCATGGTGCATTTTTATTTGTTGAGATGTTACTAACACTTTGCTAATTCATGAGTTAACACATTATTTGAATTGAATTGAATGTTTATTTCAAGTTCTTAATTTAAAACTTTTCAATTCAAAAATTGTGTTAACAATTGAATTCCTTTCACTTTTTTATTCTTGAAAGTGTATGTTGTTTGTGTCCACGAGTTATGATATATTCCAATTAACTCAAGAGGCATTACAAACCATCTTTCTAACATAAAAACTCGAGATAAATGGAAAATATCACAATTCTTGATTATTTTTCTAACACTTGACATAATCTCAATTTTGAGCTAATTTCTTAACCGTGGTGAGTTTTTCCACTTGCGATTTTTGAAACTTGACTTTGTTGATGCTTCCGGAGCCATTTGTGTACCTTTTAGTCGATTCCGGATATATTTTTCACGAATTTTGCTGCTGTACTGTTTCAGAAATCATACTTCCACTTAAAATTTGGACGAACCGAGTTCACTTTGGATCCGTTGGCACGTTTACAAGTCACCATGTAAATTTGGTGCGATTCCGAAGAGTTTGATTTTTCGCCTAATTTACGGATTTTGGTGTTTTTGTACACTTTTTGACATGTGTTTGTTTCTAATAGATGTATAATGTGTGTTTACATGTTACTTGATCGTTCTTGAGCTTTGATGAGCTATTTGTATGCTTCCGATTTGTTTATTTCGATTTATGTGTAATTTCACTTTGTTATTTCTAACATTTTTGTGGATTTATGTAAGGTACATTTGTTTGGTCGGATGTGTATCGACACATATTCCGTGCTATTTGCACACATCTTTGTGCATTATTATTACTTGATTGAATTATTATCTGTTGCAGGTCCCCTGGTACTACACATATATGTCTGATATATATTTTACGTAATTGTTACTTGTATATTGTGTGAATTGTATTTCATGCTGGTATTTTGTTTGTGATATGGATGTGTATCGACATACCTTCCGTGTCATGTGCGTATATTGTTATGCACCGTACTGTCATATTTATGTCTGGATCGATATCTGGTGCAGGTGTATTTTGATATTCTGATTTGTCCGCTACACATTTCAATCTTGATTGTTGATGCTTCAACACATATTCTGATAGTTTTCCTTTGTTGATACTAGCGGCTCGCGATGTTTTCTGGGTTTCTTTGTTATCGTTTAGAATTCACGAATTGTTATCCGTTTGGTATACCACTCTGCTATTTTCTCTTCGCATGTTATTTCTTTCTAGAGATCATGAGAAGTAGGGTTTTACCGATTTCCTTGCCATGAGAAGTATGATAGAGATGTATGAAGGGGATCTCCGTTGCTGATATATGTCATGAGTCCCTCTAGTTTATTTAAAGACCTGTTTAAGGCAATTCCGCATGTATGTTTTATTTGCTACTTGTGTTTGTTTAACACCCTACCTTTGAAGTAGTTATTCTGCATATGTGTTTACATTTGTGCCCGCATTATATTACAGATGATAAGTCCTCAAAAGGAGGCGAGCAAAGAGGGTTAGTAGCCAAGCCCCGCACATTCTAGCCTGTGTCATCCGTAGCTCACGTTGTACGTTGATGCTTCGGAGTTGTGCAAATCTTGTGTATCAAGTCGGTCATATAGAGAAGGGTTCGCAACCAACCCCACACTTTGTCAGGAGTTCGCAATGGCCATTGCTGATACTTCGCTACTCACTTGTTTGCTTCAGGTGATCCACTCCCCTTAGCTAAAGTATTTCTTTTCTTTTTTATTTCATCTGTCTCCTTCTTGTTTGCTTCGGGTGATATGTTCCCCTTAGCTAAAGCATTTCTCTTGTTTCCCCCATCCTTTTGAGTCAGTATGTGTTACTCATGTTTGCGTGCTTTTGCCAGAGCACTTGTTTGCTTACTTGTTTGCCATACCATGTTCCCTTAGAATAAGAATTTGTATGCTTCCCTTAGGATCGCTCGATTAGAGTAGCTTTCGAGCTAGACATTATGATTATATATCCATGCATGCTAACATATGGTAGAGATTTCCCTTTTAAAACTCAACTTTAGGATTAATCATTGTATGATAATATTAGGGATACAACTAGGTAGTCTCTCTTAGATGTCTTTCTTTCTTTTGCATCCTTGCATTAAGACTAGAACTCTTTTCTTGAAAAATGCATAAAACATCTAACAACTTTCAAATCCTTTTTCAAGGTAAAAAATATAAACCAATATAAACTTTTTACGCTTTCGGGTCTTTCTTTCAAACTTTTTCAAAAGAACATGTTAATTCACTTCTGTGCTGACGCGTGAGTCTCCAAAGGTCGAGCTGGGGTAGAAGGCGAAATTAATATTTGTTCATTAAAAAATACAAACCAACAAAAACTTTTGAGCCGAACTACGGCTGCTCTGATTCCTTAAAAGGGATACGTAGGCATTGGGGTAGGACCCGAACGAGCACAACTTTATTTTCCCTATATTATTTTCCCTTTTCTTTTGCATGCATTCCATGTACAACTTAGATATAGATTTGAAACACACCCATTAGATTAGAACAACATGAGTGAATACCATAGAGTACTACGGACGTGTGGGATGCTAATATCTTTCCCTTGTGCAACAGACTCCCTTACCCGATCTCTCGATCGTTTGATCGTGATTTCACCCTTCTCAGATTTGCTCGATGTTTAACTTTCTCTTCCCGTGGGATAAAAAACGTTCAACGGCGACTTCATTGATTTCATTATCCGATGATTTATTCAGCTGATTGTTCCAATCACGTTAGGCGTAGCACTAGGTTGTACTTGTTTGTTATGAGTTCGTTCACCCTCTGTACCCCTAGTGTGGCTTGAAGTTATTTAATACTATGGAATATTTCAAGCTCAAGTGTTTGTGTTTGTAGTTGAGGTTATTTAGAAGTTTAACCTCAGAGTAACTGTTGAAAAGGTTGAAAGGATGACAGGACCTGGAAAATTCCCCGACCAATCGGTGGAGGTACTAAAGCCGATGGAGATGAAGTAGCCAAAGATGTTACTAGAATCGGACCGCCTACCCCAGTAGGAGGATGAAGAGGAACTTCATGAGGGGAGACGAGGAATGATGTGGCGACTCCGGTCACAAAATCAGTGTTGCGATGAATGGTCATCGAGTTTATTTGGAAGCTACCCTTTGTGGTTTATAAGATACGTGATGATATGATTTCTCAACACAAACAATTGGACAACATAAATGAAAAGATTCAATAATTTAACGTGAAATTTTGTGAGAATCAGAAAACAAATCTCACAAACAAAGCCATTATTTCGACGTGAAACATAAAATTAATGGTATAATATGTTGATGAAAACCGTTATAGATACACTTAGATACAACAAACAAGTATCCTAAAAATACTTCTTTAAAGATTTTTAATAAAAAGTTATTTTATTAAAATATTGTACATATTAATTTTTAATTCTATAAATACATAAATTATCTTAATACTATTTTAAGTCTTTAAAGAATACTTAAAAAAAAAAGAAGCATTTCTCTTTAAATATTTATGGTATTTCTATGACAAGAAGTTTGATCTTTTTAAATGAAGTTATGAGTTTGTATTATGCGGCTAATTAAAACACAAATAAGAGAGATTTTCTTTAAAGTTGATTTCACCTAATTATGTAAATCAATTGCATTTTAAAAATGACCATGGCCTAATTTCCTAAAAATATCTAAGTTAGAATTTTTGTCCAATAGTTTTTGCCTAAGTTTTAGTTTTTGCCTAAGTTTTAGTTTTACACCACATTTTTCAATTAAATTCAAAATCATGATTATCATGTCCTAACACACATTATAATACACATAACACAAAAGTTAACAAAATAACACTATATAGTTCACAACTAGAGTTTGATTAAAACTTAAAACCCTTGACTTTGGGAACAAAAACCATCACCTAACGACATCGTATAGAATCTTCCCCCCCAAAAAAAAAATACCATTTTCAATGATAGAAATTAGAATCAAATGGTCAAAAAAGAATCACGAAAACGCCACGTGTCAAGAACAAATATGCACCTGCAACACCGGAATATCCCTCTCATAAAACACCGAAATTCCCATACTACCCTCCAGGTTCTTCCACTTCCTCCTCCTCTTGATTCACGGCAATAAACACCGTTCTCTTCAGGTGAAGTTTTTTTTCTTACTTTTCATCGTTTTCACTCTCTTCAACAACCCTATAAAACGATTCAATCTTTTCTCTAAACCCTCTTTTTCACCTTCCGAAAAACCATTTTTTTTCTCTTTCTCTTTTCCATTGCTTGAACCCCACTTCATAAAACAACCTGGGTTTTTGTTTCTCGTAACATAAACCTCATGACGTAGTACGATGAATGTACCTTTGATGTCTCTTTGTTTTTGTTTTTTCCGTTTGTTTTCATAAGGCCACATTGTTTGACTTCACTTCTAGTTTTTCTACTTTCTTCTCTTTGTTTAATATTGATCATACCCTTTTGCCCCATTTCATATAGCTTTTGATAAAAACTTTTTTTTTTTCATCTGGGTTGTTGTCGGTTTGGTTATTTAGTTGAAAGTTTGAATTTTTGGTATAGGGTTTTTCGTTTACTAGTACCAATTTGGGGTTGGTTTTGGAACAGCCCATCATTGTTTTTGTTGTTGTTGTTGTGGTTTAATGTGATATAGTTTAGATTGTTGTTGTTGTTGGTGGTGGTGGGTTTTGGGTTTTGAAGGATGTCTAGTGATGAGGTTGATCCTGTTTTTGTGGCATGGGAGGAGCAAGTGATATGTCAAGAGCGTGGGAACCGAGTGATTCATTTTTACTTGAAACATGTGTCTGGGAATTCTGTGCTGGCTGTTGTTGGGACTGAGAGGAGTGTGAGGCACATGATGTATGTTGTTCCTCAACAGTTTTTGCAGGCTTATGGATCTATCAACGTTACTTATAAATGGAGGGCGAGGAGGGAGGTTGTGGATTGGCTTAACCATTTGGTTTTGAAGAATCAATTGCGTCGTGCGGGTAATTTTGTTTGATTCCCATGTGTTTTGATGATTTGTTTGATTCATGTGTATTTACTGAATTGTGGTATTTTTATGAATGAATGGCTTTTCTATGTACATGTGCTCTTGTCGAATGCTATATTGGTTTTTTTATCAACCATATAATGTACTTCTTGAAAGAATTTTGTTCTGTGCTGTATGAATTGTATATGTCTTTATTGACAGCAAATGAAAACCTTAACGGTGATCCATGCAAAGGTTTTCAACTGTGATTGCGTTTGCGATTACGTAGAAACTATTGATATTGTAAATAATTGTGAGAAATGTGGTGTATGTAGTTGTGCTTGCGGTCGTGATATAGTTGCGAATACCTCAAAAGACTTTACGTTGTAGTTGCAATTGTGGTTACGGTCAATTTTAAACCATGATCCATGCTATTAATATTCAATGAGGTTTTACGTTGGTTGTCCCATGTAAAACAATGTAAAGATTCGGCTTTGGTTGTTGAGTCATGGCTGCTTTCTTCAAAGTTGTATTCTGTACATATTATTTCTTGAAAGGTGTCTTTCAATTTTCATATTCATGGCTCAGAGTGAGGGATGAAAATATTTTGAAAATATGAATTGGTTTTGATTTTTTGTTGACTGAATTGGTTTATTTTTGAATTAGTATAGCTATCATAATAAATGATACATTTATATTCCTTGAGCACAATCTTATGTAATTTATACGCTATATTTCTAAATTTAAATATTTGGTATTATGGACGATAAATGATCACCATGTTAGCATCCGCGCTTGTTGCATTCATGGTAAGTGGAATAAATGTGAGAGTTGTCGTGATTAGTTTTTTATTCTTGTTTATGGCATGTTGTTTTGTTAATGAAATTTATAAAATCACGGATTATTTTAACAATCATATATTAAGATCAAGAATGAGTAAGAGTGGAAGATCGAGGTAATAATAAGAGAACTAGGGTTTTACTTTTAGGGTTGAGGAGTCACTTGAAGCTACGTGACATAATACGTAAAGTTCACGTGCTTGTAACGTGATATAATACGTAAAGATCACGCGCTTGTAACGTGACATAATACGTAAATATCACGTGCTTGTAACGTGACTTAATACATAAAGATTACGTGCTTGTAACGTGACATAATACGTAAAGATCACGTGCTTGTAACGTGACTTAATACATAAAGATCACATGCTTGTAACGTGACATAATGCACAAAGGTCACGTGCTTGTAACGTGTTGTAATACGTTCTCTCGGGCAGTATTAAATCCCACTGACGCGTTACTTTAAAGCAGTTCTGAAAACACTGTATTGCAAAATTTCACAAGTCTGTGCTTCGATACTGTCGAGGCCGTCGTTGTGATTATGGATACAGAGAATACTATGGATACAGAGAGTAGTACTATGGATACAGAGAGTAGTGAAGCAGAGGTGTATTTAGCAGAGGTGTCTTTTAATCCCATACGCCGGATGCAACAGGAAATGGGTACTGTTCATTTTGTTTATTAACTTCCTAATGTTTCCGCTAGTATTAGACTGTAATCTGTTATTGCGTTTTAGATCTGTGTTCTGTGTTCTGAATTTATCTCTGTGGATCTGTCAATTTTATTTCATTCACAATGAATGCATTAGACATGGTAGGATATTTCGAACGAATCGATTAGATTTTGGAGATCAAACCCTAATAGTTTTTTTTCTTATTTTATTTACGCGAGTCTTGGATCTTGATGTATTGGTAAAGTTGCTGTGTTGGGATTGTGATATCAGTATCTTTTGATATGAATCTCAATTCATTACGATGAATCCGATTCAGTTCAATGTGATAAATCCCGATTCAATCTAATTAATCGCTACCTAAACTTAGTGTAGTCAGCCGCTTTTTATGGTCAACTTTGTTTGAGGCTCTTTTAATGCAAATCTCACTCGGTGGATTTTCTACACGAATCTCCTTGTGATATTTATGGATATTATTACTTTTTGCCATGTCTTTTGTTTGCTACAGCATGGTCTATCAATTTTCTTTAACCGCTTTTATTCTGAGCAACCTCATTTTTTCTGACAGATGCAATGCTGGATGGTTCAGAAAAAGCTCTAGGATCGGGATCTTTTGATATGTATGCTAATAACAGAAAAATACCCGATAAACAGGTTTAGAAACGACGACTAATAAAATCTATCTCTTATTAGTTCCCTTTGTATCTTTATATGACATGATTAATTTACTGTGCCTGTGTTTTCTGAGCTGCAGATTTCTAAGAAGCTGAACTTTCAAAGCTCGAATATTGAATGGTCAGGCACTGCTTGGTTTTGTGCTAAATCGCTGAAGCACTACTCTGGGTTTGACAGGAAAGGGACAACCATATATGTAAGTAAACAATTCGTTTTGTTGTTGCATGTCAGTCATTTCCTTACACTCTCACGGCCTTGTTTCGATAAACAACTTAATTAATCGCTTATAGCATAAGCACTTGCAAGTGTTTCTGTAAAACTGTGTTTATATATGATGATTTTCGTAAGCTATTGTGGAGAGCTTGTGAAAATAAGCTGAAAACTTTTTATGGACAATACCATACACTATTTCCATAAGCTCTCTCGAACGATCTTGCAGGAGCTTATGTGAGTATATAAGCTTGAATAAGTCAATCCAAACAGGCCCTTGGTATCGTTGACTTTTATTGGGATTCAGCGGTAATTGTATGATTCTGAAATATTTCTTCTAATTTATAGGTTCATTCATTTGTATATATTATGGCTGAAGATGAAAATCCCTATCTTGGTTACTTGGAAGATATGTATGAAGACAAAAAGAAACAAAAAAGGGTCAAGGTTCGGTGGTTTCACCGTGGCCAGGAGGTTAAGCATGTGATTCCAGACCTTGATCTTGAAGAGGGTGAAGTTTTCATCACACCTAATGTTCAGGTGATCAGTGCCGAGTGCGTCAATGGGCCTGCAACAGTTCTTACTCCTAAGCATTATGAAAAATACAAAGCTGAGTTGCTGCCGCATACCTCTTTACCCGAGATACATATATGCTTTCGGCAGCTTAAAAACAATAAGCTCAAACCCTTTGCACTTACTAAGCTGCGCGGTTATAGTAACCAGCCTATACTTTCGGATTTGAACAGCCCTAGCCATACTCCTTCCAAAAGGAAGACGAACTATCCAAAATTGGAAGATGGTGAGAACTTCACTCAAGATGATCCTTTGAGGTACAGCAACAAGAGAGATAGAAGTTCTGTGGAGTATTCGGTACCTGAAAATGGTTTGTCTGGTCTTCAATACTCTTCTCCTATGAATGAGATGTCAAAAGGTGAACCGAAATATCCTAGTCTGAAACTGAAACTGTCAAAAACAATGGGTGTTAAGGTTATGGAACCTAAGCCTGAACTTCCGTTTAAGGTCAATGATAAGATTGAGTTTCTCTGTCAAGATAGTGGCATTAGAGGATGCTGGTTTAGATGTACAATCTTGTATGCATCTCAGAAGAAGCTGAAGGTCCAGTATGATGACCTGATGGATGCTGATGATGAAGGCCTACTCGAGGTATGCATTGCCATTGCCTTATCTAATCTATCTATTGGCCGAGTAATTTTCTATACTAGTATAATATAAATAATGATTATCTATGAAACACGGACACAAACACTGGACACAACACTGACACTGACACCTCGTCACAGGTAATAGTTTCAACAAATAAATACATTGAATGTAATCACGAGTGTCGGTGTCATGTTGGTATCAGTGTTCAATACAGACACGGCCACACCTTTTTTCAGAGGTGTCTGTGCTACAAAGATAATTATGGTGAGTTTTGGGCAGATGTCCTATCATGTCCCTAATTGAGTCCCAGTGAAGCTAGTAAAAGAATACGGTTCTCAACCCTGTTATTAATTTGTGTAGGAATGGCTCCCTGCATCTAGAGTGGCAAATCCTGACAAACTGGGCATGCGCTGTTACGGCCGTTTAACAGTACGACCACGCCCTCCTGAGTTTTCTAAAGGTTGTACATTTGAGGTTGGAGCAGCAGTGGATGCCTGGTGTGGTGATGGATGGTGGGAAAGCGTTATAACCGCTGTCAATGTTTCTGAAGCTGAAACGTATCAGCTGTATTCCCCTGGTATGGTTTAAATCACCCGGGGCCGTTTACTTGTAGTGTTTTCTTTTCTGTTTTCATTTTTATGCTAAAATAAACAATAGATTGATTACTTTCGAAAAATTGTAAAACATTGTTTTTACTTTTTAGTGTCTCCAGAAATGTGTTCTCATGGTGATGTGATTCTCTTTAGGTGAAGAGAAGTATATGTCGGCTAAGAAGGACAACATTCGGATTGCCCAAGATTGGATCGATGACAAGTGGGTTGATATATTGGGAAAACCCGACATTTGCAGCATTATAGCTTCAAACTCTGGTTCCCAGACCAAGTTGTCATCTAACTCTGCGGTGGTCGAAGGATCAATGACTGGCAGTTCTGCAACATTAGAAAGCCCGTCGCCAGTTGCTAGAGTTGAAGTTACTCCAAAGGTTGAGCAAGAATCATCTGGTTCTGAACCATTTCATTATGGCGGAATGAAGAGATTGACTTTGTGGAAACCACCGCTCCATGCCATTCATGAAGATGAGGATATCGACCCTTCTGGCTTTGATGCTGATACCGACGAAGCTGATGATGAATTACTCAAATCCAAGGATGACTCTGGTAGTAGCAGCGACGATGACGGTGGTGATGGTGATGGCACTGACAATGACGGTGATGATGATGCTGACAACTCTGGAGACGACAGCGAGGATAATTTCTCGATGGATGAAAAATTTGATTGTTCTGAACCAAAACTCGATGCAGCAGGAGCGATACATGATACATGAATATAAGGTAGAGGTAAATGAGAGATTTCTTTCTCTTACTGATTATACTTAAAGTGTATATAATAATGAAATCAAACTTCAGGGTAGCAATATGCAGAGGATAATGGTTGCTCAAAGGTTTTTTTAAATTAGATAACTGTAGTGTATAATAGCTTATGTTTTGGGTTGTTGATCTACGGTGTTTCGTTAGATCAACAATTTATAAAGCTTATACATATTTAGTTCATGTGGGTTGTTAGATGCAGAATTGCATGTGTATGCGCTGAAACTTGAAACTGCGTATCGATGAGTTTAGCCCTCAAGGGTAAAGTCTGTGTAACTTGAGATTTAAGGTAGTTTTTACCTTTGACCATGAAGTAATATAAAAGGTTTTTTATCTGGATAATTTTGCATCTGTTCTTAGTTATGGCGATATGTAACTATCATATCGACAATGTGATTCTGTCGTAATGGTGTTTGGAACCACGTTGTGATCTCCATCAAATATGTGGTGGGGTTAATGTTGTGACTTGGAGCTTCATTGTGAGGGTGCTATTGTCTCTGTAGCACAAACACCTCGGAAAAAAACGCGTGTCCGTCAGTTTTGGTGTTTGAAACCGACACTGATATTTTTGATTATATTTAATTTATTCATTTTTTAAAATTATTATCGGTGTCGACGTGACAATGTCGGTGTTCACAAGTTATTTTAAGAATGTATGTCTCTGAAATGATGTTGGGGTGTGGAAAGGAGTCTCTTCAACATAAAAATTGATTGGTTTTTTAGTTACACTCTTAAAATATCCACTTAACCCCAAATGTATGAATTTGATTTTAAACTTGTGTGAACTTTTAGTTCATGTATAAAATGTTAACTTTTGGGGTATAGGTGATATTTTAGGTATGTAACTTTAAAATTTAGACTTAAAAATTGCAATGTCGGTTGGTACGAGATTTAAGCCTGCGGTTTACACAATGTCCGTTCCATGTTGATAGGAATGTTAGTATCGGTCTAAAATCTATATTACTTATCTCTTTAATTCATATGTTTTCTCCACCAAACTTGTTTTTATTTATATTAGAGGGCTTATATTATAAAATTTTACGGTTTGAGGGCTAGGATATTCTTAGTTTTTATACTAAAACTGCAATGAAATAATAAAGTCTTTTCTTTCACGGTTTGAACTTTTGTTGAGTGAATAACTCAAACTTTAGCATTTACGTACATTTCACACAATTGTTCGTTGCCATATCATTTGGGTTGCATTTTGTTTGCTAATAAATAAAAATTGAACAAAATAACTTTTTTTTACTCTAGTTTTAAAAATACCATTATGAAATTGGACAAAACAGATAGAAACGGAAGGGATAAAACGACCTTTTATTTTCTTCTATAAAGAATGAGACAATTTTTCATATGGCACTTTAGGGTTCAATGGTCTATTTTTTTTCTTTCATTTTCTTAAAAATGTAATATTAATACATTTTTTTTCTATGCATTATAATGTTTTTGCCTTAGGAATGAGAAATGAGTGTTTATAATTGCTAAAACTTTTTAGTCCGTAGTGGAATAGAAAATGGATGAGATGAAGAAGATTACCTATAAAGATTTTTTGTGATTGAGGTCTTCAGTGATTAAAGATGTGAAACTATGCAAGTTTATCATTTTAATGTAAGTTAGTGTTTGAGGAGACGTGAAATTATGCAAGTGAACTTATGCAAGTGTGAATGAGAAGAATGTATAAGCGTAATTCAAAGTCACACTTATATATCAGAGACGGTTAAAACCATTCCCGATTGATACAACGTGGGATGCAGATGACCATTAGATGTATATCAACGGTGGAGATGGACAATGATAATTGTGCTCTTATGTGAAGCTTTAGAGTGGTGTCAACATGTACGCCAGTTAGTGGAGAGTTTTTGTTGGATTAATTTGGTCGTATTGAGTCTCTGACCATCCCGAAACAGTTCCCCCAAACCTTTGCTATCACTTTGAAGTGAGGAATATCGAAGAAATTTTTTTGAGACAAATCAAAGTACAAGTTTTATTGAGAGAGCAGGCTCGTTGAGAAGAAATTTCTAGGAAGATGAGTAATTTCGTTGTTGTGCTGAGTGAGGGTATGTGACATCAAGAACATTCACATTTAATGTTAATCGTGTAGTCGAAAGGTTTCCTAGTGGAATACCTCTATGTCTTCTCACATGCATAGGCCCATTTAAGTGTTGTTGCAAAATCGATGCTCCATCTTAATCGTTGGCCGTGGTTTTTGATCTTCTATCGAATCGTGGCCGTTGACCTTGACGCTCTTCAGTTCCTATAAATTGGGGACTGGAGATTGCATTTAATTTATTGATTTTCTTTGTTTCTAATTGTCAACAAATTCCTTCTTCTTCTTCTTTTTCTTCTTCTTCTTCTTCTTCTTCTTCTTCTTCTTCTTGTGATTCTTGCCACTATTGTTGAAGCTCTATTGGATTTCAAGTCCTTCATCTTGAGTCAAATCGTTTCTTTATTGAATTTTAAAATATGCATTAAAGTGTAAGATACACGTTTTCTCATTATCGATATAAGGAGTGGTGTAGAAATTAGTGACACATCATTTTGTATTAAGGCGGGCATGATTGATTGATATGTAACAAAATAAGAGGTAAGAGATTAAAAACCAGAAGTTAGATAACTTGCCCCTATAGGATACATACACACGCACGCGCACACACACACACACAAATACGCACATGCACACACGCACTGCTGAGAAGTAATTTTCGATTAGGGTAATAAATTTTAAGTTGTGGGGTTTATTTGGCTAAAGAGGGATAAATTGGTGAACAACAATAAGATGCATCAAGCAAGGGGAAGACATCGATCAAGTGAGCCATTCGATGAGGAGTAGAAGATCAGAGGCAGCCGTCGACAGGTACAAAGGTTAACGAAATAGGGATTCATATTGGCAGGAACGGTTACCAACGCGAAAGCCAACAAGAACGTGGGAAGATTCAAACAGTTTCCACGAAGCCCAAACATGGGCTAGTAACCGTCGATGGTTACATATTTAGGATGTCTATTTAAGCAAATTTCTGTATTTCTGTTAGGGGTCACATTTCTTCACATTTAATAGCAATACACTCAAAGTATCTGCATCTAAGAGAGAAACAAGTTCAAGCTTAACAATGTATGGATGCTTCCACATTTAAATTCATAGTAATTTACAGTCTTTTTCACTTTAAATCACAAGCCTCGTCTTTAATTTATTTGCTTTGAAATTGTCTTTAACTTTTGACCCTTTATCCTTTTTCAACCTAAAAACACTTTAAACACAGTCTAGGATTATTGTAGCCGACTTTGAAAATAACCTTTAATAAGAGGCTAGCGATTATTTTGCGGAGAAACAAATTGGCGCACCTGGTGGGACACGTTTGTGTTTAAGTCTTCTTGTTTCATGCATGAATTTAAGAAGTGGTAGAACAATAGTAGGTCATAGAACTCCTGAAAGGGATTAGAATCTGGGAGGAAATACCAGTGCAGTGACGAGTATAGGTTCTAGTTCGACGGTCGTCTCTTCGACAATGACAAATATAGTTATCACAACACAACCAGTAACTGCAATACCAACAATGATTTTAACTTATGGGTAGTATATGCCTAGTTTCGCAAGAAATATACATGAGTATGGAATTCCCACATCAATGATGGCAGGATTGCATACTAGCAGTCTAACATTTGGCGAAAATTTTGCATTTTCACCATATCGTCCTTCGGGGCTGTCGGGAAGCCAATTTGGGCATTCAACTGGGTTAATATTTTTTGACCAAATTATGCCTACTTTCACCCCAAGTACTATTGTTGTCATGGGGCAACAAATGGATGAAAGTAACCATGAAATGGTCAATATGCTCACTCAATAGATGAGTCTCATATTAAGACTGTTAATTGAAAATTTGGTGCAAAGTCATCAGACATTAGCAGCTCAGATGACTTGCATGGGAGATTTTCTTGATGCTCTCAGAGTTCCAGTTTGATAAGCTGCACCTCGACCATGTGAGGTACCAATGCAATACGAGGAGGTTTTTGACGAAGAGGTCGAACAGGATCCACCGACTCCTCTGCGTGTCGACCTCATGATTAGGGTAGTACAATAACCCCCAGTAGTAACACCAAACCAAAACCAGAATGCCGACCAACTGGTCAGGAAGGTTCAACGTGAAACAGTGGATGAGGAACAAAACCTAGAAGCATTGTCGAACGAATAATGGTGAGAAATGGAATAAATACTGGCTGTCAGAGGATTATGTATTGTTTCCCCATTGCTAGATTTTGTGTTACAGACGGAGTTACCAAGAGGTTGGAAACTCCCAAAATTCACTAAGTTTGGAGGAGATGTCGAAGAATCTACTATCGAACATGTTTCCAGATACCAAACAGAACTTGGTGATTTAGTAGTGAACGAGGATTTGAGGATGAAATATTTTCTCAATTCTCTCACGAAGAATGCATTCACTTGGTTTATGAAGCTTCCCTCACAGTTAGTCCAAATGTGGGCCCAGTTAGAGAAATTGTTCCATGAGCAATTCCATATGGGACGTCCAAAATAAGCCTAACAGAATTGTCCAGTGCCAAACAAAAGAGCACCAAGTCAATAGACCAACACCTTAACAAGTTTAGACTTCTGAAAGAGCGGTGCTTTACACAAGTCCCTGAACATGAGTTGGTCGAAATGGCTGCAAATGGGTTAGAGTATTCCATTAGGAAGAAATTGATGGGCATCCAGTCTTTGAAGGATATGACTCAATTAGCTATCAATATCGACTGATCGAACGTTTCAAAGCTGAAAATACCAAGCCAAACAAGTATCGCAAAAAAGGGGAAGTTACTTATGTAGCAACTGAGGAATGTTCTTATGATGAAGATAGGTCAGGGGAAGAAATAAAGGTTAATGTGGTTGAACTTCATCTGGGACCTCCTTATGCGTGTAAACTTTTGAAACCGTCAAACGGAAAAAACCCCGTCGAAACCGAAAAGA